ATTACCTGATTATCGCATGATTGTAGCATGAAAGTAATATGAAGAACTTAAAAAATCTCAAGCGTGGAAGGAAAAAGATGCAACGCCTTGAATGCAGGCGCAAATTTTGGCTAGGCGACCTTAGAAGCCAGCTAAATGGGTGCTGTAATTTGAAAGATTCCCGAATCTATGCTGAAGCAGCGAAAAAAAATTCCAAAGGCACTATTTTAAGAAGAAAAGCGGTATGAAATTTTCAAGAAAAAAGCACCAATTATCACTAAAAAAAATTCATGTGATACCTTCTAAAAATACGAATGCTCTGTATTTAAGCTTGATATCTACATAACCAAAAACGTCTAGTAATCCACAAAATTTCAGAAATATGAGGCATTATACATTTTAGTACAAAAAATGTTTCTTTTTCTTAAAAAAACAAATTTTTTTTTTCATTATTCAAAACAATCGAGAAAACTGGCAAATTAAATATACTAAGACGGTTTCGCCCAACAATAATTACTATAACAAAGCATTGCTCTATTTGTTATATTATCGAACAGTATGATCGTATTTAGCAATAACACTTTTCAACGTTTCTAGCACCAAATCTATTTTTGATACATCCTAACAGCTAAGTGATAAATCCTCAAAGAAAAAAAAGCCAGTGGAGAAGATGCAACACACTAGCCCATGACACTGATAAAGACAAAAAGTTAGCTGAATTATTGGAACCAAACCCAGATGGAAAATGACCCAGTTGTTCAATGGGTAATTTTCCTGTCAAAAATTTAAGTACCCGTACACGAGAAACACGCGTACATGGAGGCTGAATTTGAAACCTTTAAGTTATATTTGGACGGGGAATATTCTTCTGAAATCTTGCCCGGATTCATTAAAATTTAAATGCATAACTGCTGGCTGGCAAGATCCAGCATTAAGTTGCTGTCGTACAGATAGTAGACAGTCCGATTCTTGTCGGTAGAACAGCTCACCTCTCTAGCCTTCGTTTTGATTTAACAATTCTTTTATATGTTTTAGGAGACATCCCAGAAAAATCGGTAGCACATAAATCTACCTGTATACCGCGAAATGCCATATTACCTGCTCTGCTTGTCGAATTTTTTCAAGTTCAATTTGCAAATTTTGTGAAAGCTTAACGAAATCCTTTTGCACCGTTTCCGATGTATCCAATTCTTGTTGCAACGCCGCACATCTGAAATCCTTTCCTAATATCATTTCGCCTAAAAAAGCGGCTGCTTGCTTCATCATGTCAAATTTTGAGTCGCCGACTTAACTACTAATTTTTGATGAATCGACGGCTAGAAAATATGACTTATTTTGTGCTATGTAGCACCAGTATGAAATGCAGAACTGTGCCATTCCGCTGAAATTAAAACAAAAATTTTTCAAAATTCAAACAAAATAAACTGTAAAATAGGAAGGGCAGTGTGGGCTGTAGAAGCCCTATGAGGATCACATCAATACAAACTATGAACAGCTCGTCCAGAGGATTGCAAACATTGGCCAATATAGTCAGGGGCAAAATAGGAAGAGCAGTACGGACCGTAGAGGTTCTATCAGGAACACATTAATAAAAATTATAAACAGCCCGTCCGGAGCGCTGCAAAAGCCTTTTTTAACGGATCATTTTCGTCCAATCAGCTTTCAATAATTAAAGGATTTTATCGGTTTTGAAAAAACTGACAAAAAAAGAACGCGTAAAAGGCGCATTATTCTAACGGCACTGGGGAACTGCACAATGCGGTCCGAGAAGTCTTTGTACTGCCAGGATGTCCGGATACCAGGATTTCTCGAATCTTAGTGGAAATTTGCCAAAAAAAACTGAAGTCGGAGATCCCACAATGCTTTAATGGCTGTATATCATTATTCATGAGGTACTGGCAATCAAAACGTAGGACAAACTTTTGCTTGTAAGTTGCCAGAGTCATTTCCATTTCGCTGCGCTCCTGCTGCATTGTTTTCACTTGTTTCTCGAGATCTTCAATTACTTTTTGATATTCCGCCACCCTCTTATCCATTTCTTCCACTTTCGAGGATGCATCTTGCATCAAAGTCAACTAAAAATATCAACACAGGAGAACACTCCATCGTTGGTTGAAAGTTTCAAGTTTTAAAAAAAGTCAGTTGGCCCACTTTTCACTTTTCCACTGTTGGCCAAGAAATCCCCCATATTATTAACTTCTACCATATCTCCTCCAACAAATCCTGTCTGCGTCCGAAAAACACCGAAAATATAAAAACTTGAGCAATTCCACTCAATGGCTTATAAACACAAGTCATTTTTTTCAGTCACTCCAATTTTTTCAGTATCTCCAGTTGAACTGCACATGCTACTCTCTTCAAGACAATTTTGTTATTTCTTCAATAAAATTTATTTTCCTTATTTCTT